TGAATTTGTTGCATGATGCTAGACAATTCGTGTCCCTTTACTCTGACCTTAGGATATGGTTTACCTGAGATTTTCAGGAAAAATAAAATTAACCTAATTCTCTAATTAGCTTATGGGGTCTAGTTAGCTAATGGGCAGCTAGGTGGTGCAGTGGATAGAGTGCCAGCCCAGGAGTCAGGAAGAGTCATGCCCAAGAGTTCAAATCTGACCTCAGACTCTTACTAGCTGTTTGACCCTGGGCAAGTCACTTAACCCTGTTTACCTCAGTTTTCTCATCTACAAAATGGTCTGGAGAAGGAAACCGAAAGCTTCTCCGGTACCTTTGCCAAGAAAACCTCAAGTGGGGTCATGAAGAGTCAGACATGACTGAAAATAACTGAACAATAACAACAACAGGACCTAATCACATTGCCCTGGCCAACGTGCAACATAATCAGTGAAGTAGTATATCTGGTTGGTGTCCAGCTTAAATAGAAATGGGGCTACTAAACTGTGCATAAGGATCCAGAGAGCCACGTATTAACATTTTCTATGTTTTATTTTTTTTTTATTTTTTTAATTTGGTGAGGCAATTGGATTTAAATGACTTGCCCAGGGTCACACAACTAGTAAGTGTCAAGTGTTTGGTCTGAGGCCGGATTTGAACTCAGGTCCTCCTGGCTCCAGGACTGGTGCTCCATCCACTGCCCCACCTAGCTGCCTCCTTAATTTATTTTGTTAAATATTTCCCAATTACATTTTAGTCTGGTTCACAGTACATTCACACAGTAATTCTGGTACGCAGGGCAGTGTTCTGGGCCCCGTGCAGCACGATTGATACCTCTTGTCTAGAGCAGAAGAAAGCATGCTGGATTTAGAGGCAAAAGAGCTGGGTTTGAATTCTGGGTTGGATCGTTTCAATTCTATTTGATTTAATAAGCATTTTTAAGTAGCTGCTGAGTGCCCAGCAATGTGACAGGTACTAGAGATACAAAGACAAAAATAAGAGTGTTCCCTGACCTAACAGAGCTTATTTCCAACTGGGAGGAAACAAGAAATGGGTAAATACAAAATTTACACAAACTAAGTTGGGGACAAGGAGGGCACTGCCAGTTGGGGCTAGGGGACAGGGTGGGGCTCGATGGCACTTGAACTGAGCCTTGGATAGAGCTAGAGGTTCCTAAGAGAAATCAGGGGTGAGGAGGAGCAGAATCCATTCCAGCAAAGTGGGAAACACTGTGCCGAGGCAAATAAGGAGGAGATTAGGAACCCAGTATGGAGGGAACAGCAAGTATGCCAATTTGGGAAAATGTACAGCAGGCAGCAAGGTGGCACAGGCGTTAAAACCCTGGCTTTGGAGCAAGGAAGACTTGAATTCACATCCAGCCTCAGACACGTACTAGCCATGCGACCTTGGGCCAGTCACTTAACCTCTACCTTAATCCACTGAAAAAGGAAATGGCAATATGTAATATATGTAAAATGGTCCATGGGGGTCATAAAGAGTCAGATGTGAGTGAAGAACAAGAGCAGCGATGTCAGTCTCTCTTTCTTCTTCTTCTTCTTCTTCTTCTTCTTCTTCTTCTTCTTCTTTCTTCTTCTTCTTCTTCTTCTTCTTCTTCTCCTCCTCCTCCTCCTCCTCCTCCTCCTCCTCCTCCTCCTCCTCCTCCTCCTCCTCCTTCGTGAGGCAGTTGGGGTTAAGTGACTTGCCCAGAGTCACACAGCTACTAAGTGTTATGTGTCTGAGGCTGGATTTGAACTCAGGTCCTCCTGACTCCAGGGCTGGTGCTCTATCCACTGTGCCACCTAGCTGCCCCCAGGGATGTCAATCTCAAACAGAAATTGGAACCACTAATACGTACATAAGGATCCCTGTGGGCTGCGTACTGCTTTAGCTTTAAAATGTAATATTATCTATGTTTTATTGTATTTTTATTTATTTTTGTTTAATGTTTCCCAATCATATTTTATATAGAGAGCACTCTCTGGGCCCTCCTAGTCTCATGTTTGATGAAGAGTGCATGAGAGGCCATAATATGAAATGTCTGGAAAGACAGGCTGGAGTTAGTCAAGTCAGCTGCCAAACTCTAGCCATCTCCTCCACCATCATCACCTTTACTGTGGACCCAGAGACTTGACTGGTGAATGGCTTTCCTGGCCACTCTTCCAAAAAAGCCTCAGTCATACTTCATTCTCCCACGCAGCCTTTCCAGTACATCCCTTCCCCTCAATACTCCCCTCTAACCAAATCATATTAACTCTGCCACTGTTGAATGGAATGGGCCAACCGACTCCCCTTGGCCCCATTTACTTTCCCTATGACTTTCCAAATCAAGGTGCTTTCCCTCTCTGCTTTCTCCTCCCATTAGAAGGAAAGTTCCTTGAGGGCAAGCATTGTCTTTCTTTTGAATTTGTATCTCTGGTGTTTAGCACCTAGTAAATTCTCCATATATGCTTTTAAGATTCATTCATTTATCCTAGGGGCAATAGTGACTCGCTGAAACTTCACAGACAAAGGAATATCAGTCTAGGGGCTGTGTGGGTTACAGACTGGAGAGCCTAGGGATTGGAAGCTAGGAGATGAATAAGGGACAGCCTGTCCCTTTGCTCCATGTTTGTTTGGATTTCCACAAATTCAGATGCTAAGCATCTCTTCTTCTTCCATTTTGAGATAGATTTTCCCTTGCAAACAAACTGGCCCAGCTTCTCACACAATAGCTTTGGTTGATTCAAGGAGGTATACTGATAACTGTTCACACTCACTTCTGATGGTCTCTTTCCCTAAAGAAAGTGTCCTTATCTAGTTGACACCAGAACAAATGGGGAGTTTCAACTCCAACCCTTTCACCTTGGTCAACCACTCACCTCTTCTAAGCTTCATGTTTTTTTCACTTGTAAAACAGACATACTAATAAGTGCTTCACAAATTTATTTGGAGAAAATGTTTTGTAAAACTTAAATTACTATATAAATATGAATTAGTATTATTCTTTTTTTTTTAAGGCAATGGGGTTAAGTGACTTGCCCAGGGTCACACAGCTAGTAGGTGTTATGTGTCTGAGGTGGAATTTGAACTCAGGTCCTCCTGAATTCAGGGCCGGTGCTCTATGCACTGCGCCACCTAGGTGCCCCAAATTAGTATTATTCTTGAACAAATTTAGATACCTTTGCTTTAAGAAAAACTTTGTCCAAGTGTAGAATCTCTGATTCAATTTGATTTAATAAGCACTTATTAAGGATCTATTACATAATGGAGATAAAGGCAGCAAGGTATTCCTACATGGCCTAGGAATCAGTAAGACAGATTTAAATCCTGCCTTTGACATTCACGCTACTTAACTATGAGTAAATCAATTAGCTTCTCATTATCCCAGTCTAATATTTTGAAGTGTACTCAATCAAAATTCTCTTCCCTTCTCTCATCTGAATTGTGGTAGCTATCAAAATCTTAGCTCATATTCTCCCTCCTTTCTCAGGAAGTTCAGTACTTGTTCACTATCTCCTCCTCCTTCTCCTCCTCCTCCTTCACTATCGTCCTTAAACTAGGGACCTTAAAATCCACTTAGATGTTCTCTTAACATCTCTAACCTACTAGTTTCTCAGCTTTCTTATGAACGTAACTGGAGGAAGTTTAACAACTGTTCTAAATGGGTACATTATAAGTTTATGTTATTCAACCCTATCTGGGCCCTCACTGCAGAAAGGCAGTCCTCTCTGGGTTTTCTTTCCTTTCTTTCCTTTCTTTTCTTTCTTCTTTCTTTCTTTCTTTTTTTTTTTTAATTTTTGAAGGCAATTATTGGGCTAAATGACTTGCCCAGAGTCACACAGCTAGTAAGTGTCTGAGGCTGGATTTAACTTAGGTCCTCCTGACTCCAGGGCCAGTATCCAACTTCTCTGGGTTTTCTTGACGCTACTCTCTCATACCTGCCTGAATATTATTTCTCAGTTTCCTTTCCTAACTCATCATATCACAGCCCGTAACCATGGTTGTTCCCCAAGGTTTTGTCTCAGACCCTCTTCTCTATTCTCTCTCTGTTTTTTTTTTTTTTGGTGAGGCAATTGGGGTTAAGTGACTTGCCCAAGGTCACACAGCTAGTAACTGTCATCTACTCTCTCTTGATAACTCCATTAGCTCTCATAAATAAAACCATTTAGATGACTCCCAGATCTGTCTGTTCAGCCCTAGCATTTACCATGGCCCATCAGATTCCCAGTTATGCGTTGGGCACTTCAACCTGGATGTCTCAGAGACATGTTAAACTCAACGTGTACAAAAAAATCATATCTTTCTCCTAAATCCCTCCCTTTCACAAACTTCCTTATTTATACTGAGGGCACCACCATTCTTCCAGGTTTCCACATTCATAAATTTGGCATTATCTTTACCTCCTCTACTTCCCTCACTCCATATATTCAGTGGGTTACCGTATCTTTCTCTTTCTATCTATACAAATATCTCTCCTGTCTCACCCTTTTCCTCCATTTTCACAGCTACCACATTAGTTTAGGCCCTTATTACCGCTTGTCTAGATGATCATAACAGCCTCTTATTCCCTCTAGGATCAAATATAAACTCCTCTGTTTAGCTCCAAAAGTCCTACGCAATCTGGCCCCAAACTATCTTTCCAGCCATACTAGACATTACTTTCCCCGCTGGGTTCTGAGATCTGGCCTTTTCTCTGGTGAAGAAACACACCACACTCCATTTCTCATATCTGTGCCTTGGGACAGCCTATTCCCTGTGCTTGGAATATATTTTCTTATTACCTCTGCCTCATAGAGACCCTTTCTTCCTTTAAGATACGTCTCAAAGCACCATCTTCTTCAGGGAAGCCTTTTCTGATCACCCCCACTTCCCCCATCCCAACTACAACTAGTATTCTTTCTCTAAAATTATCTTAGATTTAACTGCTTTGCATTTAAACCTGCATATATTCACTTTATATTTATAACATTTATCTTTTTTTATGTGCGTTATATCTCCGCCATTAGAACATAAGCTCTTTTGGAGTAGGACTTACCGTATTCTTTGTTGTCGTATTCCCAGCCAGTTATCTGGTACATAGTTATAGGTACTTATTAAATACTTGATTGATTGACTATAAATTAGAGGGGAGGTGCTATCTGCCTTAGGGGAGGAAATTTACTCACTGGGAGTTCCTCACACTGGTGAAATCACAGGTAAGGGCCACCCCCCTCCTCAACTCTCTTTCTTTTCACTCCTCACAGCATTCACCCACCAAATGTATAAGGAATTGTGCTAGGCTCTGAGAATAGACAAAACCCTGCCATAGTTTAATCTAGAGATGTGTAGGGAGAGCAGTCTTTAGCCACTTCTTCAGCTCAGTGTCTAAAGCTGGATGCTTTAAAATATCCATGAGAATGAGCTCCTCCCGCTCAGATGGATCTCTCTGGGAAGGAGGCAGACGCTGACACTCCCGGCTCTGAGAATTCCGGAGCTCATTGTCCATTCTAACCCCAGCATTCTGTGGTTCTGTGATCCTCTCAACTCTCAAGAACAGGAATGGCTTCCAAAGACGAGGGCCATGCTGCGATGCTCATCTGTTCCTCTGCTGAGATCTGATCTCAGAGCCCCATCTGCTGGATACGTGTGTTCCCAGCCTCAGGGAAAGGCATCTGAATCAGTGAAGGATATAGAATACTTGCAGGCCCTGCTTTAAACAACCCCCCCTCCCCCCACCATGGCTTATCAGAAGAAGATCAATTAGTATCTGTTTACCTCTGTATGCTTGCACTGAACTCTTCCATTGATCGACTTCTCCACTCTCCAACCCTTGACAAACAGTTTCAGTGACCACTGCCCTACACCAGGGCCTGAGATTTGGCATTGATAGGCTTGGTAGATACACTCCCATATATTTTATCAATTCTGGAGTTATTTTTTTCCCCTTTACATACACTATTTTGCTGTTAGGGTTAGATAAATACTGTTTATGGCATTAAGGAAAAGTATATTTATTTCCATGATTTCTAGAATTTTTAACATAAGCAGGTATTGGATTTTGTAAAAAAATTTTTAATTATGTTTATAGTCTTCATTATATTGAACCAACAGGGCATTCCTCTTATAAATCTAACATTGTCCTAATGTATACTGTCTCTAATAAGTTGCTGTGGACTACTTGCTAATATTTTATTTAAAATTCTTCTGTCAATGTTCTTTAGGAATATTGGTCTATAGTTTTGTTTCTTTGCTTTGCCTCTCCCTGGTTTAGGTATCAAGATCATATTCGTTTTGTAGAAAGAGATTGGAAAGGTATCTTCTTAATATTCCAAATTTAGATAGTACTGGAATTAATTGTTCTTGTATTGCTTGATAGAATTCACTCATAAATCCTTCAGGTCCTAGAGTTCTTTTCCTTTGGAGTTCATTTATGACTTGTTCAATTTCTTTTTTTTCTGATATTGTGTTATTTAAATAATCTTCTTTTTTGTTACTCTGAGTATTTTATATTTTTGTAAGTATTCATCTATTTCCTTTAAGTTATCAGTTTTGTTAGCATAATATTTCAGTAAAATAATTTCTGATAATTTTTTTTATTTCCTCTTCAGTTGTTATAAATTCTACTCTTTCATTTTTGATACAGTTTGTTTTTCCACTCTGTTTTGAAAACTAGGTTAGTAAACTGTTCATCTCTTTTATTAGCTTTTTTTTTAAAAACAGCCCCTGGTATTATTTATTAATTTAATGCACTTTTTGCTTTTAACTTTATTAATTTCTTCAATTTTATAATGTCTGCTTTTTCATTTAGTTGGGATTTTTTTCTTTTGGATAGATATTTGTATCAATGCTTGCCTTGCTATCTAGCTGCTACTTATGGAAAAGGCAGTTATGAAAATTGAGCAGAGAGATTAATAGGAGTAATTTCATTTTGCTGGTGGTAACCAGAATGAGAGAGAGAGAGAGAGAGAGAGAGAGAGAGAGAGAGAGAGAGAGAGAGAGAGAGAGATCCATGCTCTTCTTTCACTATACAAGACTTGTCAAAGGAGGATAACCTCTGAACTCCTATAACATTATTACTCATTTGGCATTTAATCATATATATTATCATATATTATTATTTAACTTTTTTGTGAGTGTAAATTTTGTCTTTCCAATTTGATTACAAATTCCTGAGGGGTAGGGACCCATTTTAAATTATTTTTACTTCCTAATATCCTCCACAACTATGATGACCATATTTTCTATTTTGAAAGTTGGAATACACAATTTGACAATGAATAGCCTTTTTGCAAATCTCTATTAATCACTTTCTTTTCTTGAAGTTAGTACTAACTTGGAAAATCTTGGAGGTATTTGTCATTGTAAGAATATCACTGTCAGAGGGCTGGGGTCATAGTCATTACTCAAAAAGTTTTTGTAGAACTAAGTAATTAATCAACTAAACTTTTTAAAATCTGCAAAAGTTACACAATTTGAGTGAGATTAGTAGGGGAAATGACCGCAGATAATCTAGAAGAAAGCATAATGTTCCTATTGGAATTCACACGGTTAAGAGAGAGGCCTTTCTGCGTCAAGAACCCTAATTTTGTAGGAAATTCCCTGTGGGAAAGAACCTAGCACTATCTACATTTAGGTCTGTCCAGTGTGTGTGTGTGTGTGTGTTGTATTAGTACTGGGGTGGGGAACCTGCAGCCTCAAGGAGGCATGTGGCCTTCAAACTTCACAGAATAAATCCCCTTCATAAAAGGATTTGTTCTGTAAAACTTGGACTAAGTCAAAAGGCTGCACCCAGGGACCTAGAAGGCCACAGATGGCCTTGAGGCTGAAAAGTCCCTCACCTTTGTTTAGACCTTGCCCTGAATAGAACAATACCTATAATCTAGTCCATGTTGATACTGCTTTAATCATGTGACTTCCCTTTCTAAGTACCGGAGCGACATATGGCTTTATCACATTAAAGTCTACACTTCTCTGTCAGACTCTCAAATCCCTCTATAATGTGGCTACTTCCTACCTATCCCAACATATATCCCAAGGGAGCACATTGACATTTTTTGGTCCACATCTGTGATTTCACTGATGGACAGAATTCCTAGTGAGGGAACTCCCTCTACTGGCCTCTGCTTTACAATTTAAGCAATCTTAGAGGGGTTGGGTTGGGATCCTGAGAGATATAAAGTGACTTGCCCCTGGCTCACCCAGCCATTAAATGTCAAATGAGGGACTTGAATCCAGACCTTCCTTGACTCCATGTCAGACCCTCTATCCACCACGCTGAGGTGCCACCTGGCACAAGGGGGAATAGGTACTGGACCTCTTATTTCACTGGTCTAGTGAACTCCCTAAATGAGGCGATTTTCTCTACTAATGCAGGTTGGCATTTTTGCCTGGGACACTGAGAGAGAAAATAATCCACCCAGGTTCAGAGTCCCAAGCGGGACTTTCATTCAGGTCTTCCTGGTTCCAAGTTTCTAAATGAATGTCTGTTGAATGAATGAAACTTTGTCTTAACAGGCTAATCCTATAGAACCTTGGGGAAACTACAGAATTTTAGAGCAGGAAGGTTCAACTCCATCATTTTATAGGCATTTTGGAAACTGAGGCATTGAGAAGGGATGTGACTTGCTCCAAACCAAAGAACAAGGAAAAGGTTGAGTGAGTAGACATAGGGGTACGAGTGAGTAGAATGGTTTGCTTCCATCACCCCAAATCCTTAGCTCTTTCAAATTTTTCCCTTCCCTGCTTGCCCCTCCCCCTTCCAAATGGGAGGAACTTCTGGCGCTATCAGGACGCTTATTCCTTTAGTCTTCCCGCCAGAAGGTGGAGTCTATACCCATGGGGAGGGGAAAGAGGTGGGCCGAGACGCGGTGAGGGGGGAGAAGAGTGGAACCCTCTCTATGGTCCTGCTGACTGAGTCCCTTCCCCCCGGTGATGCTCTATGGTTCTTCCTGTCCCTAGTCAGAAGGGGGCGCTGCGCGCAGGCGCAAGAGGACGACGCGGCTGGGCCGGAAGGAACGCGGTGGTGCCTTTTGCTGAATGAAGTGGTGGCGGCGGCGACGGCGGCTGAGACTGGGGTCGGACCGGAGCTAGCGCGCCCTGAGGTGAGTGCCTGGTGGCCCGGCGAGGGAATGAACCTGGGGCCGCTACCTCGGCGGCTGGCGGAGGCGGCGACCGCCTGAGTGAAGGTGATTTCTCATCAGCGCCGTCGCCTCCATTAAACCACCCGGGAAGTGTGAGGGAAAGAGGTGGGTGTGGGGGGAGGCGGGCGGGGGGTCGGGTTTGCGAGCGGACCGACTGCGCCGGGGACCGTGGGAGAGCCTGGGGTGGGGGGAGGGGACCCGGGAAGAGGACGGACCGGAACGGACGCCTCGGGGACGGACCGAGGCCTAACCGGGGACTCTGGGGAGGAGGAGGCGGCGAGGGCGCTGGCGAGGGAGGCCGGCAGGCCCTCGGACGGGCCGAGAGCGGAGCGGAGGTGCCCGAGGCGGGGGAGCCGAGTGTGAGGGGAGGCGATCGGCCGCACGGCGGGCGCCCGGGCGCGTTCGGCGAGATGTGGGCTCAGACTTCAGCCGGGAAGGTGGCTGGGCAGGCTCCCCAATCTCCCCTCATCGTCTGCTTTTTTCTCCTGCCTTTCCTCAGCTTTCATAACCTCCCATTACCTTTCAGAGAGATCTCTAAAATTCGGTTTCTGGTAACTTCTTGGTCGCATTTTTTCCCCCCAGATTCAGCTCCAGGTTTGTCTCCAGGGTTTAAATACTTGTCATTCTTCTTCTTTTTCTTCTTTTTTAATGATTCTGGCTCTCACCAGATAATTAAAAGGACTGAAGGAAACGTTCTGTTGGCTAGGGGCATGAGAACTGGTGTTTAGGTTCATCTAAGCTTTATAGTTAACTGACCTGAAGCTTCAATAGAAAGCAGTCCCGGTTAGACTTTAATAGCAGCTTTTTAAAAGTTGAGTTGAGGTTGGAATTGATTTTCCTGTGTAATGTGACCATGAATTGCAAGTCCTTGGGACCTGGGGTTTGTGGGGCTCTAGCCATCCAAAGAAATTAAGATTTTTTTGAGGGGGAGGGAAGGGATGTGTGAGAAGGAACTTAAAATTTCTTTGGTATGTGGGGCTCTCGGAGTGGAAACTCAACTAATGCAGATTAGCAGATAGTCACATTTGCCTGGAGTACCTATTAGACTACTTGTGTGTCACAGGCCTTGAACTCAAGCCTGATTCTGGGGCCTGACCAAGCTATTTCTTGATTAATTTTCAAAAGTTGAATTTTACTTAAGTTTGGAACTTAAGTGAAATACAGGAATAGGTAAGTAAGTTGTGTAGTGAGAAGGGTGGAGATAACAATAGCACTTACCTCTCAAGATTGTTGTAAAAATCAAAGGTGATAACATGTAAAACAAACCTTAGAACTAGGATATATAAATGCTACTTATCATCATCATCATCATGATAAGAAGTCAAGAATCCTGGCATTGCCATTTTTGATGTCTGTGTGACCTTGGGCAAATCAATTAATTTCTCTGAATCTCCTTTTCCTCATTTATAAAATGAGAGGTTTGGACTAGATGATCTCTCAGGCCCTTTCCAGCCAAAAATCTACGATCCTATGAATTTAGGGTAATTTTATTGTTGGATAGATCTCTATGATAATTTGGGACTCCACTGCTCATAGTTGGACAGTCTATCTAGAACGTTCCAGATAGATCTGTATCATAATTTGGACTTTAGATCATCCATTGGACAGTCTGTCTAGAACAAGTTCTATTTTGACTAGGTCCAAAACCATACACTCCTGTCTGTTATAATCTATCAACTTTTCTGTAATCAACACAATTTTTAGATGTTTGGGCCTAAAAAGTTGGTGAAGTTGTGTTCATTAGTCTTAACCTGAATGCTTTTTGATGAAAGAAGCACCAACTGTAGTATGTTTTAAAAACTACAAAATCTTAAATAAGCTGTTGCATAATGTAATAAATGGTAAAATAATTAATGGTCATGTCTGCAGTTATCTAGCAGATTTGATTATAAGAAAAGACTCATTGAATATTTTTAGCAGGAAGTACATTTTATCTGTCATAATTTTAGTATCAATTTGTAATTTCAAAGGTGAAATATCTTGTAATTTAGATATGAGACTCTTTGCCCTTCAAACAGAAGTTTTCAAATTTGAACGAATGAATGAAAAAGTATTTATTAGTGATTATAATGTGCCAGGCACCGCTGTGCTAAGGTCTGGAACTCTTGTTTCCAACCTCTTCTACTGAAACTGTCTTTTTGAAAGTTGCCACTGATCTCTTCATTGCCAAATTGAATGACTTTTTATTGGGCCTCATCTTTCTTCACCTCTGTGCACCCTTTGACACTGTCAGTCACCTTCTCTAGGGTTTCGTGATACTGCTAGTACCTTCCCTCTGAGATTACCTCCAGTTTAGGGGGTAGGGAGGAAATGAGTATTTATATAACTCCTGCTGTGTGCCAGGCACTGTGCTAAGCCCTTTGCAGATACTGTCCCAGTTGATCCTCACAACAATTTTGTGAGGTAGGTGCTGTTTTAATCTCCCAGGTTTTGGTTTTTGGTAGTTGAGAAAACTGAGGCAAACAGGTTAAGTGACTTGCTAGGGTCACATAACTAGTATGTGTCTGAGACTGGACTTGAACTCACGTCTTCCTGAATCTGTGCCCAGTACTCTAACCACTACACTACTTAGTTTATCCTATTACATATTTTGTTTGTATGTAATTTTCATAGTGCCAATTTTTGCTTTTCTTTCTGTCCCTAGGAATTAGCACAAAGCCTTACACCAGGGTTGGGGAACCTGCAGGCTCAAGGCCACTTATGACCCTCTAGGTCCTCAAGTGTGGTCCTTTGACTGAATCCAAACTTCAGTCAGACAAACAGTTGCACTTGAGGACCTAGAGGGTCACATGTGACCTTGAGGCCCCAGGTTCCCCATCCCTGCCTTGCACTTAGTAGATATTTAATAAATACTTGCTGATTTGATACTGTTTTCCCAAGTTTTCCTTCTGCCTCTGACTTAGTCTTCTTACTTTGATCTTCATGCAGGTTATACATACTTTTTGAGGGATAACAGTATTTTTGCCTTTACTGGTGAATCTAGCTTTTAACACTGCTTGGCACACAGTAAGAAGTCAATAAGTACTTGTGAACTTGACTTGGGGATACAGATACAAAAGTGAGACAGTCCCTGACCTCAAGGTACTTACATTCTACTGAGGGAGACAACATAGATAGATATATAGATATGCACACACACATATATATGTATGTGTGTGTATATATATAAAAATAAGGTGGCAGTGGCAAGGGAAGGCAATATTTGGGGGAGGTTCAGAGATAACTTGATCCATAGAGTAGCCAATTGACATGCCCTATATAGGAATAATTAAGTAAAGTTGTGTTGATTTGACTATTAAGCCAAAACCAAAGTGTTAAAAGGTGAGTTGAGAGTCTCTGTATGATGGGCTGTTTGAATTTGTGCTTACTCATTAATCAGTATCTCTCTGCCCAGAGCGAAGTTCTTGGGCTGAGTGGATTCACTCTCTAGAGGTCCTGTTCCAGGTGGAAAGAGTGACAAGGAGGCAGTGGCAAAGTGGATGGCTGAGTGGAATGTGAAACCTGAATTTATGTTTTAAAATTATTTCCAGAAAGACTTTTAAACTCTTGTTGAACTTCATATCTAACTATATTTGCATATGTGAAGTTATTGGGGCTGTTACATAAGTTATTTTGGAGGATCCCGTCTTATAAAAATAAATGGTTTAATTTGCATACCTTTCAGTATCGATCAACACTTATTTGTTCATATGTATCTGTGCCAGAATTCATAATGTAGGAAGATTTCTTGACAGTCTTTTCCCATTTCTGGAATTCTCTTCACTAGTATTCTTCAGCTGGATGAACCCACTAGGCAGTAATAATAATTAGCATTTATATAGTGCTTTCATGGAGTAACAGAATACAGTGATATTCTTGTTTCTACTTCTTTAGGGGCAGAAAAAAAAGTTTCTCAGAAAGGGAATTCTAGAATTAGGCTTAGAATAGTGGTTATTACTATAGTGAAATTATGGAGTATGAAAAGGGGGGCAATCTTTTCTTAAGTATTTGTTGAACTCTTTGTTAGCTGTGGGTAACAAATCATATTTTTAAGTACTTCTAGTAATCTGCTTAATTTTAGTTATCTCAGATTCTGTTGTATTCCAGCTAAATTTGATGTGAAGAGACTTTTCTAAGTGACTCAATTTTCCTATTAATTTCCAATATAAAATTGGAATGCTTTGCAATTTGCCAATTCGGCAGCAGCATTAATAAGGTAATTAAGAATACAACAAACCTTTTAAAATGAAAAAATGAATATGCCTGAATTTTTCTGTTTATCTTTTTGTTGGAATGAGGAGAAAAGGAGGACTGATCTGGACTTGGGCTCTTCCTAATTTGTTTCTATCAGTGAATAACAATCACCTTTTCAAAATCATAACAATCGTCTTTTCCAAATTCAGTGATAGTGACCCTTCAACTACTCTGGTCATATTAGAAAAAGACAATACTCCATAGTCCCCCACCCCCAACTTAGAGGAGAGAAAGATGAAGGGTCATGCTGATTTCAGAGTTGAAAGATTCCTTAAAAGTCATGTATTTAAACCTGTATCTGAACAGGAATCCCCATATACACTCTCCTCAACAAATAGTTATCCAGGTTCTGTTTGAATACTGACCATTCTACTTTTAGATGTCTCTAACTTATAAGAAACCTTCCTAAAATAGGACAAAAATTTGTATTTCTGTCATTGATAGAACACTGCACTTCTAGTAATAACTGCTTTTGAGTCCTGGTCATGTTCTTGCCTTTTTTTTTTTTTGTGAGGCAGTTGGGGTTAAGTGACTTGTCCAGAGTCACACAGCTAGTGAGTGTTTTATGTCTGAGGCCAGATTTGAACTCAGGTCCTCCAGACTCCAGGGCTCCTCTATCCACTGCACCACCTAGCTGCTCCTTGTTCCTTCTTGTGTGATACTGAGCAAGTTACTTCACCCCTAAGCTTCAGAATCTTCAGTTGTACAGTGGTAATGGTACTTATGCT